TGGAACTGCCCCCACTGCCTCAAGTTTCCACGGAAACAAGAGTTCTGGGATGATGCTCAGGAGAGCCTGGACAGTTGCAAACCTCAGGGGCACTTGGGAGAAATGTGGCTAGAATTTTGGAGCATTGACCTGTATGTCTTCTAACTTCCTATATGTAATCTTGAGAGTTGGGCTGGATGTTAAACCCCGGAGGTGGTGGGTTTTAGAGAAGAGCTACTGTCCAGAAAACAGTCCAGGGTTCAGTGTCAGGTTTTTGACTTGATGGAGAGTTGGGATGCGTGGCTCCTCTATAAGGAAGGTTAACAGTGCCGGCCTCAAATCCTAGATGAAATGTTATGTTCTTCTCCTGCTTGTGGATATTCAACTGGCACAGTCAGGCTATTTACCTCAAAGGTCTAAATTGTGCTGGTGAATCACCAGGGGTGATGTTGCAAATATTTACCCCAGACAACAATGGAGCAGAATGCACATCCTTAGCGATCAAAGGGATGATGGCTGTGAACAACAGATATGTCCATGTCTGTGTTTCTTAGCTGAATGTCAGCCCAGCAGAGCACCGACCACTTGCAGTGGCAGAGACACTGAAACCGATGGTTCATTCATTGATTTGTTCAAAGAGCACTGTGTGCTTACTATGTGCCACTCACTTTGCTGGTCACTGGGGGTACAATGCTGAACAAATCCAGACTTGTTCCTGTCCTAGAGCTGACAGTTTGTTGTGAGAGATATTAATCGAGTAATCATAAAAATGTAGAAAGTGTCTTCAACTTTAAAAATGGTAAAAAAAAGAATTAAAAATTAGAAAAAAAAATATGTAAAACATTAACCTTGGTAAGAAATTGCACAAGGTTGCATGAGAGGCCTTGACCTAGCTGGGGCTATTAGACCTAGAAGATGAGAAGCAATTAACTAGACTACCCCATGACGGAAAAATGCTTCGGGCAAAGGGAATAGCATGCTCATGTGAACGTGAGTGATTTGCCCAGTCACACTGTTAACTGGTTAAATCTGAGATGGGTATAGAGCTCCAGGAGTCCCAGCTAAGGGTCTATCTATAGCAACCCTATCCAACTGAACTTTCTACAGTGACAGACAGCCCTATAGCTGTGCTGTCCAAGACAGTAGCCTTTAGCCATATGAAGCTATTGAACACTTAATCTGTGGCTAGTGTGACTGAGGAACTGAAATCTAATCTAATTTAAATCAGTGTAAATGTAAATAGCCACATGTGGCTACCATATTGGAAAGTACAGACCTGTGTGAACCAAATCCTGAACTAGCCCAGGTTACATGGGGCAGAGGTTCATGTAAAGGGGATGAAATGTTTTTCTGAGATGATGATAAGTGCATTGACCTCAGGGACTTCATTTATTCACTCAGTCAATCAGAAACAAAAATATACTGGGTACCCATTTTGTGCCAAGCACAATTCTAGACCTGGAGACTGCCTGGTTAACAAGACCCTGCTCTTGAGGCATTCACAGGCTAACAGAGGGAAGAGGCTCGGAGGAGTAGTAGCAATCCACTGTGACTGAGGGGACAGAATCGTGCTCTTTTGGGGTTGCTGTAAATGGGAAAAACTGAGGGATAATTCTCCCGTAACTCAACCTTGGATATGCTTAACTCTATAGGTGAAGGTCATGATTTCTGAATTCCACCATTCCCATACCCCAAGGACTTCAGACAAAGGGAGAGGGCTTTAATATAACACACTGCACACTTTTTTTTAATCCCCCAAATTCAGTATAGCAAGTGTTAGAAAAAGAAGTAAATTTATACTTCCCTAGACTTTGGCTTTTCATATGTAGAGCATCTATTGCTAAGTTTGGGGAATTGGGCCCCACTGATAAATATTCTTCAGAAATAGATCATGGGACCTCAAATCAAGGATTTTGGTAAGTGATATCCTATTTTAGTCATGGTAAGAAGTCACCAGGCTAAAGAAGGTGCTAATAATGTTTACATATTTTTAAAAAGCACTTTCTCACAAGCAGCACTGTTCAGTCACTTCAAACATTTAAAGCTCCCTGCTATTTCGAACAGAATGTGAACAGTTATTACATCATTGTAAAAAACACTTCCTGACACTCAATTAAACTCATTATGCCTAAATAGTCAATTCCTGCCAATATAACAATTTAAATCACTTCAAAATAATTTGTTTCCAATTATCAGGATCTACTAAATTACCTCCTTAAACCAATCACCTGGAAAAACATTACATGCCAGGGAGGATAAAGAGACTTTTCCCATTATAATTCCAGGACACTTTTCAAGTGCTTCTTCTTATGGTGCATCAGTTTTTCCAGTGGGATCTGGCTCATAGCTTGTCACTCCATCTCGGAGATCCAAGGGGCAAGAACCTAGAGGATGTGTCCTACTGAGCTAGTTAGTACCAACTATGATTTCCCAGCAAAATTAGCTGGGACTTTGAAAAAATACAGAAGCAAAGGTCCCCTCCAGATGTGCTGTGCAAAAATAAACAACGGGGCTTGAGAATCTGTACTTTTAGAAAACATCTCAAGGGCTTTAATAATGACTAGTTAACAGACTAGAAAATACCATCTTACTCAATTAGCATACTTTATACTGCTACATTTATGATGTATTTTTCAAAGTGTGAAGGTTATCAATGTCAATTTTTCTCCTGAATTAGACCTCAAAACTCCCTAATTCCAAAGTGACCCTCTTTCTCTGTATTATTGCTGACCAGAGCAATGTATTCCCACTGACAATACTTATTTAAATTTCCTTATATGTTTTGTTTGTTTCTTTGTTCACCAATGCTTCTTGAATCTTACTCTTAAATTTTGTTCCTACTGAGGTATGTCCTTTGGTAATTCTTTCAGTGAAGTCTTAGTAGTAAACCCTTAGTTCGTGGAAGTCTAAAAAGGTATTTATTTTGTTGTCATTTAAGAGTGTTACCTTAACTGGTTGTAAAAAGCTAACGGTTGTGTCCCATCAGTACTTAGAAGATATTAATCCATTGTCTTCTGGAATCCATCATTGATGACGAGAAGTCAGCAGTTAAACTGATGATCATTTCTTTTAAGGTAATATGCCTTTTCCTCAGGAGACTATTTTTATGTGAAGTCATTTCAGTAATATGTTTAAGTATGGATTTTTATTTAATTATCATCTTTGGATTCCATGTTCTTTTTCAATATGAGGATTCATAATTTTCTTTATGTATAAAAACATATTGCCATCATCTCCTCAAGTAATACCTCTCTTCCACATGTTGGGCTTCTCATTCTATCTCCATATCTTTTATTTTCTCTTTTATGAGCCCCATCTCTTTATCTCTTTGAACTGTGTTCTGAGTGATTTCCTCACATCTATCTGTAATTTATTAATTTTCTCCTCAGCTTTACTTTGCTGTTTTACTCGGGTATTAAGGTTTTTAAAGCACTTTGTTTTTCATAACTAGAGTATAAATTTGCCTCTTTTTAGAAATTCTCTTATTATTTATCCAAAATATTTCTTTTTGCATGTTTCTTTCTTGTTCTCTTGAATTTTTTAGAAAAAAATTCTAGTTGAAAACCTCTTTCAGATTGCTCAGTTGTCTCTGTTCTTGTATATCTGCTCACAGTCTTTCATGGGAGTTTGTTTCCTATGTGCTTCTGAGTTCGTGTTCAGGGAGAGTTGTTTCTCATGGGAGACATCTTTTGGGGGAGGCCCAAAGTTTGCTTGCAGACCAGTTTTTATGTTAACTTCTCATTCCCATTTCATGAAGGGAGTGTGAATTCAGAACCCACTCCTGGACAGAGTGGTCCTGGGATCTCTGTTTCTTTCAAGTGACTTTCCCCCTCTTCAGAGCCACATCCCCAACCAGCAGGCAGAGTTTTCCTAGTGCTACATCAAGACAGAATGTCCCAGTGTTTGGCTTTAGGCATAATTTGGGGTTCAGTTTTACAGCACACAGGGGTATGTGATTTCAACACTTGCCCTTCAGAGCTGATACTACCCCGGCCCAGTGTATTTCAGCTCCAACACGCCCATGGGAAATTCCATCTTCAACTTCTACATTGAGTTCTTTTTTTTTAGAATAGTCTAGATTCTGACAACCTAGAATTAAAATAGCTCTGCCATTTACTAGCTGTATGACTCTGGGCAAGTTACTTAACTTCTTTGTGCCTCAGTTTCCTCAACTGTGAAATGGGGATTATAATTGTATCCTCATGGAGTTGCTGTGAAGGTCAAATGAGTTAATATATATGAAATCCTGAGAACAGTGCCTGGCACATGGTAAGCATTAAATGCACATTTACCATCATTATTTCTTGCTTTCAAGCTTGCTTAACTATTAATGCATTATACATATAGGTATATATTAACACATTTTTATTATATATTATCTTGTTAAGTATATTTTGGTTTGTTACATGTGTATTTGTTTTATACATTTTCTTTCATAATTAAAAAAATATATTGTACATAGATAGCATATGATTTTCATTCTGTTGGAGAAACTTGCCTTTCTAAAGTGAGGGCACGGTGGTAGCAAGCAGAATATGGGAAGCTTACATTATGCTCAGTTGCTATATATAGGATTTGGGGCCCCTGAATTCTCAATGGTTGAATTCTTTTTTCCTCATTGAAAGCTCGGCTGGGCTCTGCTATCTTTCTCTACTTCCCATGGCTGTCACTGCTAATCTTCACAAATTCATCTTTATTTTGAAGGTCATGGAACTCTAGAGATATTTAGATGTATTTGAGCTGGCAGAAGAATTATTTTACTTCATTCATTCCTCCCTACAAAAGGTTTTTTGTTTTTTTTTTTGTTTTTTTGCGGTACGCGCGCCTCTCACTGTTGTAGCCTCTCCCGTTGCGGAGCACAGGCTCCAGACGCGCAGGCTCAGTGGCCATGGCTCATGGGCCCAGCCGCTCAGCAGCATGTGGGATCTTCCCGGACCAGGGCACGAACCCATGTCCCCTGCCTCGGCAGGTGAGCTCTCAACCACTGTACCACCAGGGAAGCCCCTACAAAAGGTCTTTTATCTTGCATTTTACCTTTTTTTTTGACCACACCAGCAAGTCTGTTTAACTGAATGTGGTATTTTCACAAAGAATAATGATCTGAGGCAAGGGAACCTGTTCCTGAAAGCAGAATTGTAGCTGCTAGTCTTGGCTCAATTTCTGGGGTTTATTAAAAGAGTGTTTATAAAACCACTCTATTTGTATTTACCAAGAATATTAGTGGGGGAAAGGAGCAAAAAGATGGCCTGGGACTCAGAATTCTCTGAGGATAAATCAGTCATTTATTCAGTCATATATATACAAATAGCCAAGACTTGATGCAACGTGTCAGACAGCTCCCAGCCACAGGTCAGCAAGGATTCAGATGGACAATCAACCTTCTCTCATTCCTCAGAAATAAATGAAAAACTAGTCAACTAACCAGCAGACTGCTCTGAGATTTCTTGAGTAGAAGCATCTGAAAGAATTATTTGACCAACCTTTCCTATTCCTATCCTTTCACATTCCAAGCCAGTTAGAAATTCTAGTGAGCTGCTTGCCATTCTGCTGCAGATGCAATAAAGAGCACCACTTTTCATGACCTTCTGTTTCTCTTTACTTCCTTTCTTACCCTTGGAAGCCCAGCAGTAGCCATGTACCCTGTGGGGGCATACAGCTTATCAGAGGAACTTACTATACATTAAACATCCATTTTGGCAAAGAAGCCCCCAAAGATAGTCTTGAACTTGAGTAGGGAGTTTGTGCACTCCATGAAATGGTGTGCAAAATGTGTATGTATATTTTGGGGGCTGGGGTGGGGGAGGGGTGTGTAGCACCACAAAGGGTCGTAGAGTCAAAGCACAGTGAGAAACCCTAATCTGAGAATTCCTTGCCGCACAGCCTTATTCTGCCCACAATACACCAAATGGATAGACTCATTCATATGGGGCACGACTTTGATATGTGTTACACAAAAATGTTTCTAAGCTACAAGACTGAGTTGAGTAAGTGCTTTCATTTGTTCAGATTTCTGTAGATAAATGCACTGTGCTATCAGAGGGAATCAATTCATAGTGGATAGAAAGGTTGGAATTCAGAATTTTAATCTCAATTTCATTAAGTTACAATTAACTCACTTGTTAATTAATTCAAAAAATACTTATCAGAAATCTAGTCTGTGTCAGGCACTGTGCTAGGCTCTGGAGATTTAATGGAGATTAATGCAGACATTGACTCTACTTTCTTGGAGCTTATAAGTTGGATGCCCATCACCAAATAACTTTACCTCTCCGAGACTCATGTTTTTCACCTGTAAAATAGGGTTGTAGTAAGTACTAAAGGAGAAATATATGGGAAAGTACTTTATAAATTCTACTGTTTCACATTGGAGATTACACACACACACACACACACACACACACACACTCACGGCACAATCATCTTCCAGTCCCTGCAAAGCATAGTGAAGGCCTGATGAAGTTTGGTAAAAGAGATTATGACATAAATCTTCATATTTCTAAAAAGGGGAGGCTGTGCGGAGACTTTCTTAAAGCTGATTAGGACCCTGAGTATGACTGAGGCTTCTCTCAAGAATTTTTGGAAGGAGTCAGGTTATAAATTACAAGCCAATCTGAGCATTTTTTATCTTCTTCCGTGTGCGTGCTCTTCGACTCCTGGAGTGGCAGTAGGTGGATGAACTGACAGACCTCAAAGTCACGGATGGAGACAAGACAATGTAACACAGGTCAGAAAGGTGCCAAGGGTGCCACCTGCAGAAATACTTGCCGCAGGCTGGTCTTGTGAGCATCTTCTCCCCAGACCCTAGGAAGCAAGAAAACACTATGGAAGAACAGGTTTTAATGGATACTTTGTGTTTGGGAGGAGGGAGATTGGCCTCAGCTTCTTTTCTCTATGCCCAGTTCTCTAAAACCAGCCTGAGGTGGGTGCTCTGGACAGGGTTGGCAGAGAAGATAAACAAAGAAGGCCAGAGAAGCTCCCAGAGCCTCGTGGGATGAAAGGCCATTGGACTGGAGTCTTGCTTCTTTTCTAGATCAAGGATGACATGTGTCAAGTACTTTTTACAGTGGAAGGGTAAAGGCAAGTGGTATACTATTCTCAGAGGGCTTAAACTATGACTTCCAAAAAAAGAGAAAGTATTGTGAGACAGGAAAGGGAACTGGAATGACAAATTAATATCATAAATCCATCATTCCTTCCATATGCACTGCTACCACCATTGACAGAGCTGCCATCTTATGGGGCCATGGACAAAGGCTCCCTTATTGACCCCCTAAATTTTACTTTTGACTTTGTTTTTTTTTCCAGCTAAATTCAGATTATGTCTCTCTTTCCTGTTTAAAACTATTCTGTGTCTTCTTGTACCTGGAAGAAACCTCAAACCCTTTGCTTTGACCTAAAAGGCCCTGCATGATCTGGCCCCTCAGATCTTAACAGTTATCTCCTACCCTTCCCTTCTGTCCCTACCTTCCATTCACACTGGCCTTGTTGACTTCCCCAAATTTTCAAGCTTCTTCCTGCCTCAGGACCTTTGCATAGGCTGTGTCCTCAACCTCGAAGGCTCTTCTCCAGATGATTCTCCCTCACAACTCCAAGACTCCTCCCTGGCACCCCATTTAAAGCAAACCTACCCACCTTTCTTTTTCTCTACTATAGAACTCTGGTTGCTTCCTTCAAAGAGCTGCTCTCGTTTGTAATTTACGTGCTTGCTTATTTGCTATCTCCATGACTAAACTATAAGCTCCAGGAGAGCCAAATCCACTTATGTTTACTCACCATACCCTAGTGCTTGAAACATATGATGGCATCCGACAAATATCTATCGAAGGGATAAATAAATGTTTGAATTTCTTTCCCCTTAATTCTTTTTTTAAAAAAAATATTTATTTATTTGGCTGCATCAGGTCTTAGTTGCGGCATGCCGGATCTTCATTGCGGCAAGCCGGATCTTTCGTTGTGGTGTGTGGGCTTCTCTCTAGTTGTGGCACATGGGCTCTCTAGTTGCAGTGCGTGGGCAACAGAGTGCACGGGTTCAGTAGTTGCAGCACGTGGGCTCTCTAGTTGTGGCCCACGGGCTCCAGAGCACACAGGCTCAGAAGTTGCGGCACCTGGGTTTAATTGCCCTGCAGCGTGTGGGATCTTAGTTCCCTGACCAGGCATCAAACCCGTGTCCCTTGCATTGGAAGGCAGATTCTTAACCACTGGACCACCAGGGAAGTCTTTCCTCTTAATTCCTAATTCTTAAGTCTTTCCTCTTAATTCTTACCGAGAACACAGGCAATGATATGGGGCACAATTTCCCAGTGCCTCCTTGCCTTTGCACATGCAGGTCCTTCTATCAGGACTGTATTTTTCCCCTTTGCCTGATCTTTAAACTCACTGCGCATTCTGCTTCAAGACCCAACACCACCCTTTCTTCTTCTGTGAAGCTGTTTCTTGTCTCTCTTTTGTGTCTTCTCACTACCCATATAGATCTTTATTAGTGTTTACGACACCATATTGTGATTGCATGTTTATATTTCTGGACCCCTCTCCCCCCATAGTGAACTGTCTAAGGACAGGAAGCACGACTTATTCCTCTTTGCATCTCCAGCGCCAGCGTCTGGAATGCCATAGTCACATGATACACATTTGCGAGGAGCCTACAGATTTTTATACATTCCACAGAAAAAGACAGAGTGCGGGGAAAGCCGGCCAGTCCCGGTGGCTCCTGCCAAGTGGCAGGGCTGGTGGTGGTGTCCAAACTCTGTTTCTCCTGTTGAACAAAGAGCTGTCTATCAACAGAGAGGATGGGATGGCCCCCTCCCCTCCCTGCAGGCCCCATTCAGGAGTGAAAGCAGCCTGTGTCCATGCCTCACTAGGGTTTTCCTTTCCTTTGAGAGGAGACCATTCTTAAGGCAGATTTTCAAGCTGAAGTCATCCAGAACAAAAGCTGCTTGCCAGCTGGGGCCCAGCAGCCTGGTGCCCCTCCCCCTGCAACCCGGGTGCCATTACCGCCTAATGGGAGAGGTGTGTGAAGGCTTCCGGTGCAACATCTGGCCAGGGCCGCTGTCAGCTGGGGAGACCGAGCCCAGCGACTTCCCAATCTGATTTCTTGAGATTGTTGGAGGTGCCTCTGAACCGCAGAGCAAGTGAGGAGAAGGAGAGGCCAGTCCTGGGGTGAGGCCATTAGGAAGGCTGAGGCCAGCCTCCTTCTTCCCACGCTTGCTTTCCCTGCTGGCCACCAGGAGACTTCTGCTTCCCACAGCTGTGAACTCAGGCCCTTGAGAAGGATGAGAGCCTCTGCTTAGGACCCGAGGGGCTGAAGGGCCGGCTAGACGCCACCTAGGCAGCAAAACTGATTTTGTTCTCATTAACTCAGGTCCATGCCCCGTCAGGATTTCCTAACTCCGAATGCTGTCTCTTCCATGCCTTTCCCAAGGACCCTCACATTCTCCCTTCTATTCATGCCTCCCTTCGATGGTAGAGCTGGGACACTTAGACTCTATTCTGGATCTTTCTTTCTGCGTCTTTGCTCTCTGCTAAAGGCAGCTGTTCTGACAAAGATTTCTGATGGCAGCACCTAGCTATGTTCAGGGAAGGTTTTTTTGTTTTTTAATTTTAACAGTGACTTCTGAAGACCAAGAAAAAACTCAGAGGAACAAGTGGAAATTTCAGGTTCTGTGGTAGGCTTTGGCGGGCAGCCTTGCATTTCAATAATTCCTCAAATCAGTTCCACCTAGGCACTGATTCCAGGTCTGAGTTTTTTTCCTTCTTGAGGCCCAGACGAACATGAGTTTGGATTTTTGGAGGGTCCACGTTGGCTAGTGACGTGTCTGTAAACTAGCTGCAGACCAACACAGCAGACGTTATCTTAATGGTACTGATAGATCGGGAGTGTCATACATCATTAAAATAGCTGATTGATTAGAAGAAAATAATTAGCCTGCCCTGACTTGCTGGAAAGCTTTTTGACATACCAAGAAGGAGATATGGAAGGGACGAGGGGTCATCCATCTTTTGATCATTTGTTTTCCCTCCAAGGTGATGAAAATGGCCCTGATAACCCTTAGGAAAGGGAAGAAATATAAACAAGTCCTAGTTCTTCTTCGCCATTTACTCACAGAGAAGCTATCTGCAGACTTTCTGGAGTGTGGTGTGTTTATTACAGTTACAAAGATACACTCCTTTAAATCAAACACTCTGTTAGTGCCTTGGAGTTGTAAATCAGTGGTTCTTTTCAAGTGACTTGATAGAATGTGATATTCTGCTTTCCCTTGACAGGATATAAACACAGAAACCTAAATATTATAATCAAGGCCAGCCATTGGCAGGCAGGGCTATGCAGAAGGGCACGGAGATTCTAGTGGTTTTTCGATGCCCTTCTTGTCTTCTGTGTATCTGTCTTTCTCTGGGTGTTCATAATCAGCCTCTCGACGACTTGGGAGTCAAGCTGACAAACTTATTTATACTCAGGAGTGATACCGTTTAAGGCAATCTTACGCTCAGAGACGTTTGCATTTTAGCTAAAGGCACAAAGAATCTTAAGCCAAAGGATGTCTCTAGAGAGGTAGTCTGCTGATGTGATGGGCCTTCTCACTGTCCTGGAAATCATGCTGCTGACTCAGTGTCCCCCCCATAATACCGCACCCTTGCACCCTTGGGGGACAGAGGATAGAGTAAGAGCAGATCTGGATCACCTGGCAGCCTTCAGCAGATTCTGAGATCTCCCCCCTGCCTCCCTTCCCATTCTTACTCTCCATCATTGCTTCAAAGAGCTACAGACGAAAGTAGGTTATTAGGCTTGTGTTAGAAAATAAAATGGTGGAACTCCATTGGCCAGGAGAACAATGTGAGTTTGGGAGCCAGCTGGAATGGGGCATTCCGCCCTATAACAATCAAGTGATATTGCTCACATCACTTAATGCCTCTGCAGCAACAGACTACTGACCTTACAAAGCCTTATGAAGCTTGCGTCAGGCAATGTAGGACAAAATGATTAGCAAGTAAATATTAGTTTTTTTCCCTTTTAAAAGATAATTAGGAACTCTGAATTTCATCTGAATATAATATGTTGACTTTCAACTGTTAATCAACTTGTACAGCCTTAAAAATACATTTTTCACTTTTTTTCTGAGAATATAAATAATACACACTCTTTGTGGAAATTTGGGGAACTAAAAGAAAAGAAAATCCCATATAACCTTTCTTTAGGCGGGATAACTAAGTTGTTTGTTTTTCAAAAAAATTTCCAGTATTTTTTCAATGCATATGGCCCCCCCCTTTTTTTTGAAGAATGTTTGCCATCATACCACATACACACATTCTGTTTTGTGGTTTTCTTTTCTCCTCTGACACATCATGAGCACTTTCCCATGTCATTAAAAGTGCATGGTGTGTATGTGTTTTATAGTTGCTGCCATCACTAATGAGAGCCTGTTAGTAAGATGACACTTGTTCCTCTAGTACATATGTCAGTCATTGAAATGACTGCTTCCAAGCAGTAGTGGCTGCTTTGGGGTTATAATTTTTAATACCCTCAATTCCAAAGCTGGCTCTTGGCAAGACCCTGGGTTCTTGCTTGGATTTTTGTCTCTGGTACGACTGGATCTGGGAATAGGGATATAGGATGGCAGTGGATTTCAGCCTACTTCTTCCACTGGCCAGAAGTTCCCTCTGCACTCCATGACAAAAGGCCATGCCTCAAAATCAGTTATCAGAAGAGGTCCTTCAATCCACAACTGGCTCCAGGACAGTTGTGGCAAAATGGTTTTTGAAAGAATAAATGCATGCATGAGGCAAGTGGCCTTCCATTCATTCAGATA